TAACCGCCGGTTGCTCCTGAGATTTTTCAAGTTCTCTGTCACGGAATTGTGACGCCAGCTCTGCAATTTAAAACCAGAAAAAGCAAGCCTGAGGGGGAATAAACAACCAACCAAACAACCCCCCCTCACAGCAGGGTGTTTTTCACGGCTTATTCCCCCTTCCTCCGCGCCGCCGGTCACATCCGCGCCTCTTCCCTTCAGCCGCGGGAATTCCTTGTTATTTCAGTGGAAGTTCAGGTGGTTGTGAGCCCTTTCAGCAGGTGGGGCTTCAATCGAGGGGAAAAGCATTGACCTTCTGAGCCCTGATGTCGCGCTCCGTGTCAATAAATCCAGCTTAGGATAAATTCATCTTCGTAGGCCAGCTCTTCATTTATTTTTTTTTTCCCCCCGTCCAGGGTCTGTAGCAGGTGAATTTTTTTGCTGGAGGCTTTGTTTTCCAAGTAACAGAAATTTCTCTTCTAAACTCAAGTCAAACACCTCCAACATCAACAATTTCAGTGAACATAGCAATTTAAGTACTGAAGATGTGAAGTCTCTGGCAGGGGACTCGCTCGTTCTTTGGGTCGCCCTGTTGCTTTCGCACCACTAAGCGTTCTCTGCCGTAAAAAGTTTAACTCGGTGCGCTCTCTTTCCAAGACCCTTTTGGAATAACGCAGGGAGCGCATTGTTTCCCTATCCCAGATGCCTTCTGAGCAGATCCGGGGAACCGGGTTTGCTTGTGAAGAGGTCTTTTGAAAAGGTTTGCCCTTTAGGGGGCTCTTTGGTTGTCAGCCATGGAAAATAGTTACGGATCAGTTGCTGCTGACCTCCCTGCAGGAACAAAAAACCCAATGCTTCGTTACGTATCTTATGTTGCTTAAATTTCTTGGTTTTACCTGATTGTGCTTTACAAGATGACAAAGAGCATCTTTTTAAGTTCTCATAAAATTAGTCTTTGTATGAGTGGCGTAAGGTTTGAGAAGGTATTGCCTTTCAGAAATTGCTCATATATTTATAGGAGGAGTAATTGCTCTCCTGGAGGTACAGACCTCCCTCTTTACTGCTGAGCCCATCAGGACTCCCCTGATGCCTCTTATCCATGAGGAGATATTGAAATTTACCTTCCCTTGGCGCAAGTTAGCAAAGCTGTCTTTGCTTTTGCATTAGGAGGAGGAGGAGGATGGACGTTCTGCGGCCCACCCTGATAAGGATCGGGGAGCGAGTATACAGGAAAAATCTCATTCGAGAGCAGGCCTGCCAGCTCGAGGAGGAGGAGGATGATTTCTGTGCAGGTAAAGAGTGCAGTGTGAGGGTTAACTGTATTGCTGGCAGGACGTGCTACAGGTGAAAGCATCAACACCAGGGACCCAGGGAGTTCTTGGTGTTCTCTCTGATGTCTTTATGTGCTGAAGGACCTGCCCGTCCAGTGGAGTAAGGTGTTCAAGAAAGGAGAAAAATGCTTTGTGTCGGTCCCTGATGATTGTGCTGACCAAAGAGTGGAACGTAATCCCGGTTACCGAATGTGGGTTTGGGTGACTCTGCTGCTGACTGTTGGTTCACCTGCTGGCCATGAAAGATCTCCAGTAAAAAGGGAAAACAAATTAGCTCTGTAGATCTGTTTTCTCTGGGTTCCTGAAGTGCCTTTCTTTTCACTAGTGTGATTATTTGCAGATACGGCAGATATGGCAGGAGCGGCATCCTCTGTCCTTGCAAGGTTTGCCCCTCGAAGAATTGGCCTCTTGGCTTTTGCAAGGTGCTACCTATTTTGGGCGCAAAATTCTTCTTGTTCTGATGTGTTTTGCTTTATTTTTCTGCCTGCATATTTGTTGTAGTTCTGCAGGAGTTGTGGGCACAGGAAAGTTCAGCTGTTATTTCTCAGATGGAAAGGGTTGTGGCTGTTGTGTCCTGTTTCTCCCTCCACCCTGCCTTTCAGTGTGTTGAACGAAGCTTTAATAAGGTGCTTGCCACCCAAATTCATCCCTGTATGTGTTGGAGAGGAAATAGAAACCATGGCCTCTTTCTGCGAATCACGTTCGGTCCCAATGGGCACGACTGAATGGCCCATGGGTGAAAGATGCAGCTATTCCTGTGCCGAGGGCATGAGAATTTCTCTGTTTTCCAAAATACTGTACCTGAAGCCTTGAACCAAAGCTATCCTCCATTTTATTTGTATTCTTCTGTGACTTTAAATTCTCGCTTGAGTCTCTGAAGGGGCTGGTGGCTTCCACCCTGCTGGGAGAAGAGGCCATTCCCACTGGGTAGTTGCACAACTTCCAGCTGAGAGAAAACCTGGGCTGTAACTGCTGTTTTCCTACGCCTCCCAGCCCGGAGGATTTAGAAGCAGTCATTATGTTTTCCGGAGCTGGTAGTAAGGTGGAATAAAAAGCAGTTAGCTCCAATAGAGGGGAGTCCATTTCTTCCTTTATTTCACCTTGGGAGAAGCCAGCTGCGAGGCTCTTGTCCTACATAAAGCACTGCCAGAATTTACAGAGGTCGTACAAGGTCTGTTGTTTTTTCCTGGTAGGCCCCAGTGACTGTGCAGACGAACCCTGTGATGCCTTTGTGGTGGAAGAGACCGAGAAAGGCTTCCAGTGCAGAGTGGAGGTTCCCAGCCCCTTATACAAGTGAGCCCGTGTGTTTCTGGTTTATTTGAATTGCCGCTGGCCGGGGAAGAGGTTGAGCGCAGAATACTTTTTTTGGGGTCAGGGTAAGTGCCAGATCTCCGGTTAGGTGGATGTGGATTTTAGCATTTGGGAAGGGAAAGCTGGCAATGCCTTTCTAGTGCAGTCGGGCCACGCTTGACTCTGAGCCTTCCCTGTGACAGAGACAGCAGGTGGTGCTTTCTTGCTGGCAGGAGAGTTTTTGAGCATCTCTTCCCTTGAACATAAAAGCAGCAGGAAGGGTGGGAGAAGAGGAGGAAGAACTGGGGCGAGCAGCCTGGCAGGGGGAGTTTGTGAAAGCTTTGAGAGAAGGCGCACGCGGCTGGAATTGACTATTGACTCCAGTCCGATGTTTACTGGGAAGCCTGTAGTGTTCAAAGCTTCATCTAGTTATTTTTGACAGTTTTATTGGTTGAAACGTTTTACTGAAATGTAGAGAAGGAAAGGTGCTCTGTTGTGTGTTTGGCTGCTGGTAAATGACTACCTTGAGCAAAGCAAAAAGCAGAAAAAGAGCCCTTAGTTCTTCATCAGCTGGGGTAATGGGAAAAAGGGATAACCCAGCTAACGAGGAGGCTGTGGCAGGGTGTGCTGGGCAGAGCTGTCATGGACCGACTGACTTATTTTAGCTTAAGCCAAGTGTGAGCCATGGCTCAACATCATCCCATGCTCCTAGGCTGGTCACCTGCGGAGCCCCGTGAGAAGCCTCTGTGCCTGGACTGGGTCCTGCGCATGAGGCTGAGAGTGTGCATCCCTTTAGCATGGAGATACCGAATCTGGGGGGACCCAGCTGCCTGTGGCATGGACACTTGATGGAGAGTGGCCCAGCAGTGCTGTGTGAGTGACTCTCCTGTGCTTTTATGCCTCCAGGTACATCATTGGGAAGAAAGGGGAAACAAAGAAGAGACTAGAAACAGAGACTCGAACCTCCATCAGCATTCCCAAGCCTGGAGTCGAAGGAGAAATTGGTGAGCTTTTAACATGCACAAAATCAGTGTTCTCTCATCAGTGCTTGCACGGACGCGATTTGCGTGGGGTGGGGGCATTGGCAGTGTTTTTCCTTTAATTTCTGCTTCTGGCATGGCACTGACCCAATTTATGGCCCTTGGAAAATCACTTCACTTTTCTCCTGAGTTTATTTTCCCTGTCTATAGATCCTTATAAAGCAGTGTAAGGTTTTTTTTGGGAAAAAAAATTATCTATTTCAAGTCTATGAATAGTCTCACTAAAGTTAATTCTGGGCCTTAAATGACTGGTTTGAGGACGTTGGGGCTGAATGTGTTGGGGGTTTTAATGTTGGTTAGTTTTTAAATTAATACCGTTGTCAATAATGAGCTGCAGTATACATCCAGAAGAAATACCATGTTGTATATTCATGCATGAAATAAACTTCAGCACCTGCTTTAATATGAGAAGTGTTTTGATGACGTTGCTGGCTTTCTGGTGTTGTCACTTGATCCTGACAGTGAGAGCAAGCTTTCTTGTACCGTATGTTCCTTCTCATCACTTCCAGTGACTTAAAAAGAAAGGAGGCGTTGCTCATAAGGGCTGGCCTGTGCAGATTTCTGCCTGAGTGGGTATCTGGAGGGTCCCTTACCCACGCTCAGGTGATAACTGGCACGATGTACGGTTACGTTCGTGACAGAGCTGTGAGGAGTAAGTGACAGGGGGATCCAACTGCCATGCTGCAGAGGACCGTGGTGGTACTTCTCAAGAAGTGGGTCTTGACTTCTTCCTGAGAACCGTGAAGGACTATTAGGAAGGTTGAGAGATGCTGAAAACAAGTAATAATAGGAAGCCAAGAAAATTTTGCTCCTTGCTGTTCTTTCCTTTCAAGCTCAAGTGTTCTCTGTTTGGTGCCTTGAAGTGGATGCACAAACGATATAGGCCATCTTGATCTCTGATAGATTTTCTTTTCTTTTTCACTTTGACTGCCTTTATGAAAACTTGAAATAATGCTCTAGAAATCTGAAGAGCCACTGAAGTGATAGACTCTTAGTTACTGGTTTTTTAGGCACTCGGAGCTGACTTTCTTGAGAGCAGAGGGATACTTTTGCTGGCATCATCCTGTCTTTACAGAGGGAAGCGCAGCCGTGTCAGGCATTTTAAGTCAAGCAGGGCGTCTGGCGAGATTTCTCTGTGCACAGTCGGGGGTTCTAATTCCTATCGCTTCTTCAGTGAGCCTGGGGCTAACAGTGGAGGGGTGCTGTTGTGCAGGTTTTTTTAATTGCCTCCCAGTGTCTCCTGGGTGAAATATTCTTCACAATATCTTCCAATATTGATATTTCAAAGTGCACGGATAAATATCGTGTAAAATCGTGATCCATTTAATTACTCTTCTATTTTGCATGGGCATGGGTGTCAGTAGTCTCACTGTGTAGCTTCACAGAAACCAGACAGGTATTGCTTTGTTTCCTTGTAGTGATTACAGGGCAGCATCGCAGCGGTGTCATCTCTGCCCGAACGCGGATCGATGTTCTCCTGGACAGCTTCCGTAAGAAGCAGCCCTTCACACACTTCCTGTCCTTCGCTCTCAACCAGCCTGCCGTCCAGGAGAAGTTCCTGCAGTTCAAGGAGGAAGTGTTGGAGAAATGCTCGCAGGTCAGGATTCACGTGAGAATTAAAATTGAGTGGCACCCTTCAGCAGAGTGCCATTTCATTTATTGAGATAGCTTTTTGGTGTTTACCTTGCAGGCCTTATTCTATTCTGTTTCCTAGGAATATATTTTTAACAGGCCTTTTACTTCAGTTGCCGGATCTGCTGTGAATTTGTTGAGTGCTGTTGTGAAATCTTCTGGAAAGTGGAATGGCTTACTTAGTAAATTGTTAGTAAAATATTTTCTTCTCCTTAGAGATTTTTCCTAGGTGGGAGGATATCTAAGATTCAAAAGAGGGTTGGGTTTTTTTGTTTTTAATAGAAAAGCCACTAAATAATGCAGTGGACCTTTCTACATTTTATGCAATTTCTACATAACCGTGAAACCAGGTAGGAATTCACAAGTTTGCTGCTGCTTCTATTTCACTTTTCTTTTGGTTACTGACACTGAAGGAAGATGGGTGTCATTACCGGAGCTGAGCGAGAAATGACTTGGTAGCACATGCCATCCTGCAAATATAATTGCTTCCCTTTTTCCCCGTGAGACTCTGTGCTGACAGCCGTCCTTCCTTGCCTTCAGATCTTACACTGAGAGCAGCGGGAAATAGGCATAGGGAAACAAGGAACAGAATTAAGTGAAAGCCGTGTATTCCCTGGTTTATTTTAGCGTGCTTCTAGTTTGGCAGAAGTGGTCTGTCAATGCACAGGGCCAGGCTGAGAGAGGGAATGGTATTATTAAACTGCCATGTCCTCAGAGTGCTGGGAGGACATCTCCAGGCAAGAGAGAAGAGTTCCTCTTTGTGGGTGCTGCAGGTTAGATTGCATACACACAGCAGGCTTTTGTGGGCTGCTATTACTACCTTCACGTCCATTGCTTCTGCTTGTGCCTTTCAAGGGGAAAACATAATCTTGCAGATAGCACAGCTGAAGAAATTTAGTTCCCTGTGTCTTCATGCTGTGGGCATGAATTATCTGATATCTGGGGAGATAGGAGCTCTTGCTCAAGTTTTCGTGGTCACTTGCATGTCAATTGTCTTATTTCTAAGAGCAGAACTGAGCTGCTTTTGCCATCTTGTCTTTCCTGGCTGTTCTGATTTAAGTCCCTCTTCTCCACCCAGCTACCTATTTCACAGACATCTTAGGAGTTTTCTATCACTCAGGTTTCCACCTGATGTTTAATACAACTGAAATTGGCCAACAGATCCAGGGATTAGCAACCAGTGCAGTGCCATGAGCACCCTTTCCTCGGGCTAGGAAGATATCACTCTCTCCATCATCTATCCCCATTAGCCAGTGGCAGCTGCCTTTATTAAAGCTTTTCTTTATTAAAGGAAAGCCCTGAAGACACAGGAATGGAAACAGCCTGAGAAAGCGCTAGCTGGACAGAGTGTTGGACCTCGGGCCAGCGTCAGTGGTGGCCTGGCTTCCTCTGTTGGTTTCTAGTTCCAGGCTTTGGGGGGACACACCGAAGTTACAGGCAGAGAAGCAGCTCTTCGGGGGGTTGGTAACTCTGGCACAGGGTTCTGGTAGTGGCTGTTGAAGCTATTGGCCCTGGACTGAGACTGCTGCTTTCAGTCTGGTGTTTCTCTTGCCCTTTATCTGCCTCTAACTGGGCTTATGGCTGTTAGAGTCCTTTCACTTGATCTGCCTCGAGCTGTCGGTCCTTTCAGACACGGCTGGCCCTGCCCTGCTTGAAGTCTTGGCATCCAGGACTCTGTTCATCTGATCTTCCTCCTCCCTCTAGCTGTCTGCCAGCAGGTCCTGTGGATCTCTCTTCTCCCTCCCTGTGGACAGCAACCCCTAGATCTGCCTGCTGCGCAGGGCGGTAACCTCAGTGTCGTCCCCTACACCTTGACGGGTTCTGGCTTCCAGGCTGTCTCAGTGTCAGGTGAATCCTTTCAGTGTCACACCTCTACGATGTAGACTTTTTAATTTGTCTTTGCAGCTAATGCTGCCATCCGCATGTTCATCCTGTGTTTTTATTCCTGCAACACTCTGGCCTCACACAGGACTCGCTCTTCTCCTTGTAGAGCACTCACTTTTCCTGCCTGCTGCTTCGGTCACATCTCTGCAGTCCTGCATTAGCCCAGCCTCTGCTGGTGATCTTACTTGCTCTCCAGACCACCCCCTGATCTGTCTCTGTCACACTGTTCATCTCTTGCTTGCTTCTAAGTATCAGTTTGCATCCCTGGGTAGGCAGGGAGGTCTGCCATCCACTTAGAAACATTTTCATAAATGTATCTTGGGGCTTTTCCCAGTGTTGACGGTCACATTCAGAAGGAGCTGCCTGGGAACATGGGCAAACCTTTGCATGCTCCTTGTCCTAGAAAGCCACAGGAACCATGCTTGGTCAGAGGAGTGCTGAGACCACTGCTGACCAAGCCAGTCATGTTAATTTTTCCTCCTCCTGCCTGACCTTCTGTCTCTCCCATAGTGTTTTTGTTCTGTGTCTGGATGGCACCAAGTCCTGTAAGGTTCTGTTTCATGGTTGGGGATCCTGCAGCGTGGGTCTGCGTGTGGGAACGCATTTCAGCCTAACAGCTACTTCTGGCTTTTGGTAACCTGGGACTTGAACTGTGCTCAGAACCAGCACCCAGACATGAATCCTTCTAATACCAGTAATAGCAATATCTCCGAGAAAGCGCGGCGCTCGAGACATAGCATGCCTTTTGCTGCTGCCGAGTCATCGAGGTGCTTTCAGGAATCTCCCAAAACAGTGACAGCTGAAGCTGCCCTGCAGCAGGACATATCTATGGGTGCAGGCAGAAGGTCTGGGGCTGTAGTTCCTGTTACGCCGTGTGGGCACGAGGTGCCCCAGCCTGGGAGCTGCAGCGTCATGTTAGCACTGCTCAGTGCTCTGTGCCTCTTGGGAGGGCCTGAAATGTTCCTGGTACTGCTTACATCAGCTCTAGAGTTTCCATTTTTAGTTTGAAATGTGGAATTTGGTCAGTGGCAGATATTTGGGGGTTTGCATATGTTAGCCTAGGATTATATGGTGCTTTATTTTTCTGCCCTTCCTTCTCCTGGTATTAGCAAAAGCATTTCTAGACATATTGCTGCCTGTTAGTTCAAGGAGTATATTGCAACCCCGTATGTCTCTCAATCACTCCGCCAGCCGGTAATGCCACTGTAATACCACTTTATCTCACAGCAGGGTCTGCTAGAAAGCACATCAGTAATGAAAAACAGTAATTCAAAACGGTGCCACGCAGAGCAGCAAGAGAGCTTATAGATTTGTCCAAAGCAATAGGATTTCTCAGGATACTTGGAAAAATCGGAATAGGTTTCAATGACAGAAGCGGTGCGTTTCTCTTCCTGTTGCAATTTGCTGGTGCGAAACATTGCAGAATTAGGTAAGCTCCAGTCTTTGAATGAAGCTTGGTAATAACGGTGAGGAAGGGGAAGGACCAGGTGTGCATGTGTGAGGATTTCTTCTGGCCATTGAGCATTTGCGAGTGACTCTATTCCTCTCTGAAGCAGTTACCATGACAACCATTCATTTCTATTTTATAGCATAGGGTTATGTTAGTGGGTATATGCTTTCTAACTTCTTTTTTTTTTTTTTTCATCTTTAAGACCTCTTTTTTAAGATTAACCTTGTATTGAGATACGGAATACTTCAGGTGTCATTCACACTATTGTATGGCCAGGGCAGCCAGGCAGTGAAGCAGGGCTGAGAAGAGACTCTTTTGAGGTTAATTTAATAGAAATGTGGGGAAGTGGCTCACCTGGACAGGCTCATTACTGATGTGGTGCAGTGGGAGGTCCAGATCACTGGATGACCTTGCAAGTCTCCTCGCACAGTCGTGGAGGTGTCGGAGTGAGGAGGACTGAAACGTCTGTCTGAGTATGCAGGTGGAAAAGGGAAGAGACTTTGCAGGAATATTGCCGTGAAAAATCACAGTTGGGTCTTTCAGAGCTGTGCAAACGCAGCATTTGCAGTCTTAACAGGCTGCAGATGTAGCACGGAAAAGAAATATGATTGCTGTAATATATTGCAACCTGTAAATATCAAACATTGCTAACGAGATATTATACCTCGGAGTGGAAGGGACAGAGAATGGGCGGGGTTTTTCAGCCTGCAGCCCTTCAGTCGGTTCTGAGGAAATGCTGTTTTTCTGGCTTGCTCCTTTGTGTGTGGATCAGGGTGGGAGAGGGCATATAGCTGGCATGCAGTATCCTGCTATTAAGAAAAAAAACCCACAAAGCTGTCTGCAAATATCGGAAGCTCTTAAGACAGTAGAGAGGACGCAGCCAGAGAGGAAGAGCTAAGGAGTTTGATCCTTTGCCTTGTCACGTAGAAGGCCTGAAGTGTGTTGTGGCTATGAGTTCCCTTCTACAGGGTCTTAGATTTGGAGGAACAATGTGTTTGGGCTTTGCAAAGACAGGTGAAGACTCCAGATAAAACCCTTTCTGTGTTCCTTCTAAAGGAGGAGAGCAAAGGTAGAAGTCTAAGTAGCAGGAGGGAGGGAAAAAAAGAATTTTTAAAGCTGAGTGGAAATGAGCTGTTGTTGTTCTGACCGTGACAGGGCAGTGTCAGGGAGAGGCATAACCTAAAATGGACAACCATCACATATGGATGGTGCGCAAAGGGGATATTCTTCCTGCCTCTCACTACATCCCTAGAGAACCCAAGTTGGACCAGAAAATTTTTAGAGAAATTATAGAGTCTGGTTTATGTGTTTGTGTCTGCCAGTGAGTTCCTGCAAACATGCTGCTTTCAGATTCCCCTGTAGACTATGGGGATTCCCTGCTGCGACACCTCGCCTCCCCTAATCTGGTGCTCTGCTTTCATTAGGGCTTGAAGCCACCGCTTGCCACAAGCCACTGTGACTCATGCCATGAGGAGTGCCCACCTTCCACTGCATGGGGAAGGAAACTGGTTAAAGAGGAGCTTGTTGCCGAGAGGCACTTGGAGAGCGTGGTTTAGATCCTGGTGGATCCCCATGCCCATCTCCAATGCTTAGTCTAGGCCCTGCTCTTACAGTTGTAGCTTACCCTGAGGGGATTCCTTAGGTATTTGGAAGATGTCCCTAAAGCCCCAGAATCGTTGACAGAATTGTGCCTCTTGGGCTCATCCTCCCTGGATGAGAATGTGGTTTTTCCTCAGAGTAGTTATGAACATGTATTTCTAGGCTCTACGTTGCTGTGGTCTGGCCCTGCTGGTCAGATTGCAGAGGGCTCACAACCACTGGACGGGGCAGCTTCCCATGAGGCAACATGGTGGTTGCTGATAGCATATCATAATCTGGGCTTAGAAAAAGTAGGGTTCAAGCTTTTTTGCATCTTGGCGAGCAGCATCCAGCCATGAACTAAGACACCCGCAGAAACGTTGCCTGCTCCAGAGCAGAGATGCTGCCTCTGACGTAGCATCTATTTTATGCGTGGGAGAAGTGGGATCTGCTGGCCTGCAAAAGAGTAGGGGTGTAAGCAGGGTTTTTAGGAGCTGTCTGAAATACTAGGGAGTAAACCAGGAAGATTATCTAGGTCTTGGCCTGTTCCCTGTGTGCTGCTCTTCCCTGCTAATCTCCCCAGCAGCGGTAGCGTGGCTTGTGGAGGTGACGTGCCATCACTTTGTCAGCTATCAGCCCACACTCAGGTGTTGGAAAGCTCAGGGAAAAACGCTGCTTTTGGGGCAGGTTGATGTTTAACAGTACAAGTTGTGCTGGGGCAGAAAATGAGGGTAGGGCTTTTGCTTTCTGACCTGCAAACTACTTTCTCGTTACTGTACATCATCTGTGCGCAACTGTGGGAGTGACATCGGCTGGTTGTCCAAGGTGAGGACAAATCGAACATTCTCCCAGTTTCTGTTACCCGAGCTGTTGTTTTGTGATGGGCCAAATATCCTCTGGCTACAGATACCATTGGAGAAAAAAAAGCTGACGGAGAGAAATCATGTCCTGTCGTGCAGGTTAACAGCAGTGTGAATTAAAGGAAGCCAAAAAGGCTTTTACTGCAGAGAGGAGAAGGTGGGGAGAAGTGAGATGGAGCCGTCCCTCTTCCCTCTGCTCCCGATGTGCCTGACATAGTTAGCCTGTGCTTGTTTTGGGCTGCTGCACGGTGCTGAGGTTCGCAGCCTGCTTTGCCACTACTAGCATGGTACGATTTGGGGGTTCGGTCAGCAATAAAGTAATTAGCAGCAGTGGAAGGTATGTACATGCTCTCTCTCTTCTGGGGACCACCGCACTCTGCCAGCCTACGGCTGCTGGAGCAAGCCCCTGGCCTCTGTGTTGCTGGCTGGCTTGTCTCTAGTCCAGCCCATAAGCAATGGAAGGCGGTACACGTCGGGAGCCCTCATTAGACATGACAAATGCTGAGTGAGATGTGGGGCGTTAAATTCTGACGGGCTGAGATACTGCGGTGTTTAAACGGCTGAAAGGTTTTATTTCAAACTCTGAAGCACAGCTAGAAACTTCAAAGCCGTCATTCTCAGTCGGTGGACTTTTTTCAGACAGGGAAAGGCTTCGGTGGCCTGGCAAGTGGTGTTGGCTTCTTCTGGAGTTAAAAGTGGAGGTTACTTAATGTGCTGAATGGGAAATGGCCGCTAAGTGGAAATAATTGTTTTAATATGGGTGTGTTAACCATCCTTGAGGTATTTTTATAAATATCCTAGAACAAAAGAGCATGTTTTTTAAAGCTGAATGTAACCACTGCTCCACCTGGGAACAGTTCTTCCCCAGCAACAACACGTAACTCTTCTTATAAAGGGAATTTAAACTTAATTCATCTTGGCAAACTACAGGACACATGGGAACAAGAAAAATGTAATTATCAGAGCTGGTATTAGCTGTGCTTGTGTTGTGAGGTGCAACCTGTGTTTAGACAGGATTTAGAGACCATTTAGAGCTTGCCACTACAGCTGGTTCCAGCTTTATTGCACAAAAAAATGGACTTAAGTTTTAAATCTGTGCTGACTTGTGTTGAGCTTGTTGCTGATGGCAGCTGCCGCTTTGACAGCTGTGGAAGGTTCCTGTTGAATCCCCGTACGAGTGAGTGCTGCTGTTCCTGGGTCCTGAGTTAGAGCCTGCCGTAACGAGCTTCCCGGCTGCTGTTCAGCAGCTCCGATGAAAAGGCAGGCAGGGAGCGTGTGTGCAGCGGGGGGCTGCGCCTCGCCTGCCAGGCTGAGCTCGCTTGCTTGGTACCTGCTCTCTGTAGTATTTATCCCTCTGATGGAGTTGTGTGTGTGTGTGTATGAGATGAGACAACTATGTATGATTGATTGATTTGTAGGATCACGGGGTGAGCAGCAGCCTGTTCCAGAACCCTGCAAAGCTTCACCTGACTCTTGGGACGCTGGTACTTCTGAACGAGCAAGAGATCCAGAAAGCATGTGACCTCCTACGGCGATGCAAAGAGGACTTTGTGGAGTAAGTGATAAAAAAGGGATGTCATCACCAAGGGTACGAGTGGGGGAAAAGCAGCAAGCTGTCTTTGACAAGGGACAGTGAAGAGAAAAGTGGCTCAATAGTCTACCTCAATTCTAGAAATTTATAAAAAGGCTGAAACATTTCAAATGGGAGCAGTAGAAGTCACCAAGCAGTCACAAAGAGTCTTAACAGCATCTTGCAGCTCAGCTCAAACCCTCAGCATTCCCCCAAAACTCGCTCTACTTACTTCTTTTTCTAACATGTGTCCCTGTTATTTTTTTGTGGGCAATTTCTGCTGTTGTGCCCTGCCTGCTGCAGAGGGAGGGACGAGCTCCATTACCTGCGCGCATTGCCTGCGGTGGGCTCTGGCACTGCTGCTTCCCTCCTGCCTCAGAGCAGATGCTGAGGTGTCCTTGACATGCATTTCTTGATGCGGGGAGCTGTGTGCACAGGGAAGCCGGCATGAGCCGCGCGAGTAATCAGTGCTGCTCCAGGACCGGGGCTTTCTGGCTGCCTGTTAACACTGAGCTGCAGATGTTAAGGCTTTAACTGCAATGGTGGTTGAATGAGACTGTAATTAGCTTATCTCTGTTGAGCTTAGAAATTGGAGATGGCCTGAGGGATTGATTTGTTTATTTATTTCTGCAAAGCCTTTGCACATAGAGCACGGATTCTTGATTTTTAAAAATTTATTTATTTATTTATTGCCTCCCTGCGTGAAGAATCAGCCCTGCCATGCCAGCTAGTATCTGTGGGAATTAATGCATGGCCAAAATTCATACCTCTGCCTTTAAAAACGACAGCTCCAGTTGTTCAGCTGTTGAACAGAAATGCAAGTGCGTTTCCAGGGGAAGGCTCTGCCTGCAGTACTTGGAAAGTGCCAGCTTCCTCATAAGTGGATTGGACAGAGGCAGACAAAATCTTTACCCTCTGTTTCCTTCAGTGGAGGGGCAATCAACATTTGAATGTAACCTTTAGGTTATTTCCCCTGCCATACACAAATAAATATACATTGAATATTAATGTAGGATGCCTCCCACCCACATAAACCTTCATTAGCGATCTTTTCTAAATGCAGGCAGTGCCATGTGAAGGTAAATGTGCCCTTCTTGACCCTTTTTAGAATACATGGCCTCCAATACTCTTGGTCTCACCTGCATGACAGTGTACTTGTGCTGTTTTCCTCCCAGTATCTTCACTGGGAGGGGAACTCGCGCTCTCCTTATTCCACCTGGGAAGCTTTGCCGAGAATCTCAAAAGCAGTCTCTAGGGCAGGCTGAACAGAAGTGAGCAAGGTTAGAGCAAAGTCACGCTCGCGTTGTTAACTCGTGTTTATTACTTCTGCCTGCCCAGACACTCCCTGTACTTTCCACGAGACCTCGGCGTTAAATGAGACAACAGCACTTACTCACAGGGAGGCAGCGCGTTTGGAAGCAGATACGCTTCACAGTGTGTTTGCAGGTGTGGGAGTGCGTATTATATCCTGCAAGCGTGTTCGGTTTCGCCTTCCTGCAAGAGTAGCTGGAGCTGATTTTAAAACAGCTCTTTTTACTTCCAGCGTTTGTAAGTGGACGTTGAAACATACTTAAAACTGCATTCTGTATCGAGGACTTTTCCCAGCGAAAATCAATGGGCTGGAGGCTTTGTGTCACCATGGCTCTCTTCACAGGGAAGACAGGAGCTTCTCTGGAATGAGAATTTGTTCCATTTTATTGCTGATGGGTTTTCTGGAATATAAATGGAGATCTCTGCGTTGAGATGGCCTCTGAACACTGACAGGTTGACTTAATGTGTGTCTAAACCACTGAATGTATGAGTAAATGTTTTTACAGTATTTCTTGAGATGATGAGACAATGGCAGCTGTAGCCTTTTGAGCTTTAGAAATTAGGGAGCCTTTTTTGTGTTTTGGGTTTTTTTCAGTGCAAACAACCTGAAAGGTACGGGAAAGAAAAGAACTTCTCAGTGGAGTTCGCTGCCTCGTATGGTCTGTGTAGCATTTAAGTCCCGCTTAAACTCAAAGTTGTGTTTAATTATAGCAAAAAATGTATTTTATGTCATTCCCTTAGTAAACCCACATACTTAGCGTGTGCATGAGGAGTACTGTGCATTGTATTTCAAAAGCAGGTGCAATGTTTTGCTTTTTAACACGAGGGATTTCATTTTTCATTTTAGCCAAATTGCTGGAGGCAAGCCCCTGACCGTGGAGGTGGCAGGAGTGGAGTACATGAACGATGACCCCGCCATGACGGATGTCCTTTATGCCAAAGTCCACATGAAGGATGGCTCGGACAGGTGAGTTCCCCATGCTCCTTTCTTGCTTTTCTCCTCGATGTGCCGTGGCAGCAGTAGCGGTGTGCCAGAGAAACCCTCTGCCATCTGAAGCTGGTGGGTACTGCTAGCAGTCCTTGGGCCAGCAGTCAGGAAGATGAAGTCATTCTTGCTTCCTAAACCGGTTAAGGCAGTGAAGTGTTTGCTCTTTAAATCAGTCACTGGTGGTGCGGCTGAAAGATGTCATTTGTTTCTGTAGCAGTCTGTCAGATTGAATAATGGTGTCGTGGCTTGTGCGGTGATAAGATGGCCAAGGAGATACTCCTGAGACAACTTAGAAGGCAGGACAGCTTGGCCTCTGCTGTCTAGTTCCCACCTGCAACCCAGATTAATCTGGACAGCCTGGCATATTCTGCAGTGCTTAATTATTCTTAAAACCCAGTTACACCAGAAGGTCCTCAGAAAAGCATGACTTGGCTACAGAGTTGGGTTTTGTGTCTGTAAGCAGCCTGGAACAGGCGCTGGGTGTGAAATGTCTTCTGAGCTGCTGGTGTGAGATCTCGAAGCCTGGTTGGTGTCAATGCGTGTGTTTGTGCTGTTCTCCACCGTGGCTGATGGCTTTAGCTCTACAAACGGCGCTGCCCGGGATGTGGTGGTGTCTGGACAACCTTCCTCCATCTCGTTTTTGACAAGTACGTCACGAATGGCAGCACTGTCTTTTCTCTTAGTGCTTTCTGGAAGACTGGGGAAATGTAGGAGCTGCTGTACTCTGTGCTGCTGCTTGTGAGATGGGTGCGGAAGGGGATAGAGGAGTAGCCAAAATAGCTTTAGCCTTCTCTCCCTGAGCCTTAGCCTTCTCTTTTTCTGGCAGTGCTGCCCTTTTGTGTCTGTTCCCGTTGCTAGAGGACAGCAGGAGCTAGCAGGCAAGCACGGAGCAGTGCAGCTGGAGGAGGGAGGCTGTGAGCAGGGACTGGCTCAGGGAAGACAGGACGTGTTCTGGCATCTCCTTTCCCCGAGGGCTGAGGAGACAAGGGGGAGGGGGGCTGCTTAAAACCGCACTTCGGAGGCTGTGTTGAAGTAAGAGATCGGAAGTAGGATAAGGAAATGGGTGGGAAAATGAAAATGTAACAATTGCTGGGAGGCAGTAGGAATTGAAAACTTTTCCTCTTCTCGGCTCTTCCACTTTGAAGTCTGTCCTACCCTTAAGGAGGTGAGATAAAACAAACAGGGTGGGTGGAGAACGAGGACAAGCTAGAGATCAGCCAGGAGACAGAAGTGCAAGGAAGAAACAAGGCAGAAGCACTCAGAAAGACGAGATGGAGGCAGACACTGCATGATCCAAATGCTCTTTGGTGGGTTTATTGTAGAAAGCGTCCGAAGTGTCAGCTCTGAGAGCTGAGGTAGGGGCTTCTTTTCTCCTGAGTCACTGATCATCTCTGAGGTGCAGTGCTTGCTCATCTGCTTGCATCTGAAAATAAGTCTGCAACCTGAGGAGCTGGTAGAGAAATCCTGTAGAGCGTAAGTAGGGCCTGAAGTGAAACAGTGATGTCTGCTGGCGTCTGGAGACAGCTTGAATTGTCAGTGGTCTGTGGTCTGCTTCAGATGCCAGCCTCATCCATTTTGCTGAGAACTCACTTAGCCATAATGCTAACAGAAAATGCTGTTGTGCATTAGGGGTGGCAGAGCTGATTTTGGCAGGGGAGAGAAATGAGGTCTTCAAATCCACCTTGCCTTGAAACTGAAAATGACCCCCACCTGCCCCCCTGAGAAAGGGCTGATGATGAACCTCTGTCCTTCACAGAGATCTATTAGATGAGGTTTTGACCAAACCTAGATCTTGTGCTTTGCATGGCACCCGGAGGCTGCCAGACTTCTTTTCCACAGCACTTTTTTTTGCTTTTTGCATAGTGGCGTGGTCAGAAAGGGCCAAGCGATTTTAAGTTTTTATCCTTGGCCCGGGCCGATCCTGCCCTCACCTGCAAATTAATTCATCTGGCACTTCTCCCCTAATATAGTTCCTTAACTGTTAGCAAGCAGCCAGAAAACATTTAGCTTTGCAGAGGGGAAAGAAGATATTTTTGTGTTGATGGAGAGCAGTGAAAGCTTCTTTTGCTTCCTTTGAGATTCCAGCAGACACAGATTCCGCAGACACAGTCCAACAACAAACCGTGATTATAAAGAGGGGACAAATGGAGATCCCTCCAGAAAACTCTGCTTCATTTTCTGGTCTGCTGGACAGATCATTGCCGAGCAGCTCATGCACCTCTTGCCTGCTAAAGCCCGCTGCGCTTTGCTCAAGGAAATGGGGAAAGGAGGTAGAAAGCAGAGTTTCTCAGCTGCAAAGCCAATACTAGAAGAGAGCGGCAGCCACGTGGTTTGCTGTGCTGGATCCGACTGCTGCAGCCTGCATTTAAAGAGAGGTGTGTGCCTTCCTGTCTCATGCAAGATGTCTTGTTAGCTCTGTGTAGTTCCTGGCATGGCTGAGGGGTGGAGTTCCTTCCTGATCTTTGGATGATCTTGATCAGCTTAAGCTATAAAGGAGGAGATTTGATTTACCCTGACTTAGCTTGCATAACTGCAGACAGAATTAGGGGTTGGCAGGCCCTTCTGCACATATAATGGCTCAGACTGAGAGAGGGATCGTGCTCTGATGCCTCCCACATGGCAAATAATTTCCATTATAATTCATTCTAATTTGTTTTATTTCCTTGATTAACTTTATAACGTAATAAGGCACCATTTTCACTTGAGCTATTCTCTGTTAATTTGTTTTAGTATTGTCTGTAATGATATTCATTTAATCTTTGTCATTGCTAATTTTAAAAATCACTGATGTAAAGCCAGAAAGTGGTAGAAAACCATGACAATTGGTAGTTTGAGAGTCTTGAAATTGTCACATGGGGGCCAGCAGCCCGTGCAGGGCAGTACAAAACCGGCGGTGGGGGTAGGAGCTGACATCCGGAGCGTGGTAGCCCCGGGCTCTGGGGGCCAGCCTCAGAGAAGGCCACGCTCTGCCTCTCCTGCTGCAGCTGGGACGCCAAAGTGTGGGACCTGGTGGAGCAGAGAGCTGTCTAATCCCTTGGATGCAGCGAGAGAAGCCCAAATTCTTCTGCATAGAGTAATACCCCCTTGCCTTGTTTTCAGGGATGGGAAGCTCTTTTTCTAGCACATCCTTGCTGCTTTTGGTAAGGCTCAAGCACTGCAGAAATTTTGTGGGGGACAGAAGCAGCCTGGAAGTTCTTTCAGCTCTTTAGACATAGGATACATGAGCGCATTGCTCTGGTCACCTGCCTGCTCCTGCTGTCTGTCCTAGGACAGGTCTGCCTGCAGATCATAGAATCATAGAATGTTTGGGGTTGGAAGGGACCCCTAGAGGTCATCTAGTCCAACCCCCTGCAGTGAGCAGGGACACTGCTAACTAGATCAGGTTGCTCAGAGCCCCATCCAACCTGTCCTTGAATGTTTCCAGGGATGGGGCCTCCACCACCTCTCGGGGCAACCTGTTCGAGTGTTTTACCACTCTCATTGTAAAGAATTGCTTCCTTAGATCCAGTCTAAACCTACCCTGTTTTAGTTTAAAACCATCCCCCCTTGTCCTGACACAGCTGGCCCTACTAAAAAGATTGTCCCCCCCTTTCCTATAGACCCCCTTTAGGTATTGAAAGGCCGTAATCAGGTCTCCCTGCAGCCTTCTTTTCACCAGGCTGAACAAGTCCAACTCCCTCAGCCTGTCCTCATGAGAGGTGCTCCAGCCCTCGGATCATTTTAGTAGCCATCCTTCGCGCACGCTCCAACAGGTCCGTGTCCTTCTTGTGCTGAGGGCTCCAGAGCTGGACTCAGTACTCTAGGTGAGGTCTCACCAGGGCAGAGTAGAGGGGCAGAATCCCCTCCCTTGACCTGCTGGCCACGCTTCTCTCACCTCCCTCGACCTGCTGGCCACGCTTCTCTAGATCCCAGCAGACACGGCCGCTTTCGTCCCTGACCGAGGCCAGACAAGAAGGTGGCAATAAGTTCTGCTTGCTCAGTAGCTCTAAAGCTGGAGCGTTCACCAGGATCTGCTGTCTGGGTTTGTGCCCTATGTCACCACGTTCTGGGCTCTTCCAGAAATTAAGCCCCAGTGACTGGGTTGCTTATTTGGGACAGAGAGGGTTCGAGATCTGGCCCGGTGCACTGTCTGGGTTGCAGTCCCTGAGCAGAGCAGGTCCTCCAGGAGTCCAGGTGCCTAAGATCCCCCAGGGGTCTGCAGATTTTAGCATTTGTAAAGAGAGTCACATTGTGCTTTCTGGCAGTAGACAGATGCATCCTTCAAGTCCCAATAACACGTCGCTGCAAACAACCTCGCTGCTCTGCTAAATCTGCCCTTCTTCGTGGAGTATTTGCAGCAGAAGCAATCACTGAGAAAGCTTTGCAAAACAGCCAGAACTTTTTGCATTAGAGCTGAATCCTGATTACGCTGTTCACTTTCCATCAGAGACTCGCTCCCTTTCCTCCTGTGCGTGCAGAGACTTCATTTCACATACGCTGCCCTCCCTGGCTGAAAAGCAAAAAGCTGACAACGCAGGGGTTTCTCCTTGGTTTACGCTGATCTGTTCTTTCTGGTTTTGCCTTCCCAGATTGCAGCTGATTGCTGATCAACTGGTGGAAAGGTTCGTGGCCTCCGGCCTGATGCTTAAAGAATGGGATAGGGTGAAACTGCATGCTACAGTCATGAACACTCTCTTCAGGAAAGATCCAAGCGGTGCGTACCCCTCATCCTTACTGATAAATGCGTTTGAAGTAGCACCTCTGAATGGGGAATGCTTTTGTTGGCTTTTCTGTTCCTTTCTAAAAATGTTGTGATTTTTCTTAATCTCAAAAATACCTACAAGGTTGGAGGGGGGTGTGTCTAAATAAAACCCAGAAGAAAATGAAAAAGCAATCAGCAGAGCTGGAGAAGGCAGGCATGCTTTGAGCACTTTCTGGATCTTTTCTAAGATTCCACGTCATAGCTTCAGCAACGCTATCGCCCAGTAGCACTCACGAGATCTGGGCCCAAGAGAAATGCATTCAAGTACCATGTGAGGTCTTGGGCTCTCTGTGCCCCAACATTAAATTGAAATTCAGTAACGACTCGGTGTGCTGTGCTGACTTTTTAAGCAAGATGAAAACGTGATCCCCTTTGGTCAAGTTAAAGATTGCCCACTGGTTTAGGAACACGATCCCAGTGTCATTCTCGTTAAATCAGATTCAGACGGCTGCGAGGCTGAATGTGAGCTATTATGGCGTGTACAGTGTCTGCCCTCTCTGCCAGAAGATTGCCTGCTCCAGCAGTCTGTAGCATCATCCTTATCGCATTACTTTGTAAAGCAGCCTCAGATGCATTGCGTTTAGGGAGGGGCAGTCTATTTACAGCCTTGCTCTCCGTGTGCAAACATGCATATGCTCTGGCACTGGTGTGTAGTTTGCAAGCCTTTAGCAGCACCGCACTAAAGCTTTGCCTAGCTTTCTCTGGCGTAGCGGCCTCTGTGCAATGCCGATAGGCTATGCCGAGCATTCTCCCGTTACTGCCTCTGTGAGTCTCTGTACGGACAGCGATAACAGCAGATGGTTTGTGTCACGGTTTTCTGTGCACCCAGCGGCAGGCTGTGGGGATGACTGCTACTAAAGTCAGATAAGCGCTCAGGCGGTAGCAACCCTGAAAAGATGGGGCTTAGCGCTCTCAAACCGAGCCCTGAAAATTGGTGGAAATGTAAAGCCCAGAGTGCTGATGTGGCTCTCTGTTAGGGGAGGCGCACGGGCAGCCACGTCTGGCGTTACGAGTCTGTATTCCGAACAACCCCGTCAGGCATGTGAGGCATTCAGACACAATGGGGAGAGCATTACACAGATAGCCACAGAAGCCGCTTTATATTCAATACAGGATTTGAATAGTGTGCTAGGTGTGAGCGGGACTTCATCGTTAATGCTGGAGATGAAAAAGAAATACTGAATATATTCACCGAGTGAGGCAGAGGTCCTGTGGAAAGGACAGATCATGTACTTAGGGATTATATAAAAATCCAGACATGCTCTGCGGAAATGGATCTAAGACGTAGGCATTTGGCAGTTGCTATAGTCCTAGGTTGCTGTTCTTAATGCCTGTGTGTGTATGGCTGCGTGCCCGCCCTGCAGAAGCATACACGCCGCATGTATGTGCTTCCCAGAGCAGGCAGCAGAGGTTTGTGTAGGTGCTGCCCGGATCATGCCTGGCATTGTGCTTGCACACTCAGTCTGGTATTTGGTGCTGTTCCAGGCAACGCGAGCGCTCGCAGTGCTGACTCTCACCCTTGGCAGGATGTGGGATTAAAATCAGCCGGAGAGAAGCAGATGTGTTGCACATTGGCCATCGGCCCCACAGAATTGCCCTAGCAGTAGCTATGATTTAGGGTCTTTCCTCCAGGTAACGTAGGTGAGCCTGATAAAGGCACCGATTCCTGCGTATGCAGCCTTGTTCTCTTTTAAACCCAAAGTGGAAGTGTTCTTGCGCTAAGAACTGGGCAAAGATGGTTTATTAGCTGGCAGCTGAA